GAGCACTATTGATTGGTTGGCTTGGGTCACATGGATATGGGAGGCACTCATTATAATCCTGTTCACCTACGTGAGGTATGTGTGTGGAAGAGAGGGTGACACAGGGTCGTTTGTTGACCACAAGTTGAAATGATTGCTTTGATTAATATAACAATAGGCGCGTTCACACCGGAGTACTTTTCCCGTTTAGTTCCGTTAGTACCCCTTATGTCGCGTTCACACCAAAAAGAGTACTTAGGGACATTTTACCCCCATTTGTTGTGCCTGCTGAGAGGTGGTACTCTCCTGGGGGAAAAAAGTGCCCCAGTTCTGATTGGCTGGGCGAATTGCAAACCACGCCCCGTAAAACTCTGAAATGTTTTGTAGAGCCGCAATTTTATTATCCTCGCATTAGCATTATTAGCATTAGCCCAGCGCACAAATGCAGAGAGATTAACTTATGGCAACACAAAATAAAACATGGGAGCGGTGGAGATGAGGAGGTGTCGGCATTCTGGCGATTTACTCGGAAGGCTTCAGTAGCCTCCCCCAACTCCATGGACTTCCGGCCCGGGACTTCGGGTGGCAGGATACGCCGTGAAGTCGTTTGCGGCCTGCCAGTAAACCCAAAGCAGAAGAAGACGAAGTGACATCAGCGGCTTCATTTGCGCAATCTTCCCTCAGGGAAAAGTACTCCGGTGTGAACGCGATCGGCTCTTAGTTCCATAGGGGAATTAAGTGCTAGGAACTAAGTACTCCAAAGTACTTGGTGTGAACGCGGCTATTGTGCATGTCCAAGGAGAATAAGTGGATCATTCCAGTTTTCATTAAACCACATTATTTTGCAACAGAGTTTTTGATCTCAGCAAGTACTTTTTTGTAGCGTGTCACACAATATGCAAAATGCCAACACCCTTTCCGAATAATCTAATTTATTAGGGATTCCGAACAAATGTATTATTGGTAGGGGTGCACCGAATGGGAAATTATTGGCCGAAACCGATACCGAAAATAGGAAACAGTTGGCCGAAAACCAAATGCCGAAAGGCCGAAAATGATTAATAGAAATATATATATATAATGTATACATTTTTTACCAATGTTGTTTAGCTACCTGATTATGGAAATAGACATGATTATGGCAAAACTTCACTTAAATAATAATCACTATTATGGGTCCATAAAACATTTATTCAGCACTTTTGAATGCATACAGTACATTTATATATGTCATGTATTATTGCTAAAAAACATTATATCGCAGTCTTAGTGTCGTCAACTCGTTTCTAATATGCAAAGACAACAAATGCATCTATGATGTATTTTCGATCAGACGAGATCTCTCTCCCCCGTCTGTGTGCGAGGGGGCGGGGCAGTTTACACACACGCAGCTGCTACATGCAGCGGAGCGCACTGCGGAGATGGCGGAGAGAACGCGCTCCGAGGTGTGGTTAAACTTTACCCGTCTCGATGTGGAGAATACTTGTTACCATAAGTGCAATAAGAGTTTAGCATGTAAGCATGAGCAATTTGTCTAAACATTTAGCAAAAGTGCACCGCATGCAGACGGAGGAATGTACCGGGTTCGACCGTCTTTCTAGCAGCTCTGTAGCCCCATCCACGAGTAACGTTTCCACGTCAGGTGTTATGTATGCTAGCAGCAACACACGGAGTTAACTACATTATACAAACATGGGTTAATGATTAGAGGAAACTGAGTTATTTAGTTTGTTAAAATTTCAGCTATTCTGTTTACAGTCTGTCATCAGATTATTGAATACGATTTGTTAAAGGCTCAGGGCAATCTCGATGACAAAGGTCAATGTTCCCCCCCCCCCCCTGTGAGCCAGCCGCGAGCATGGTCGCCGCGTCTTTATTACGTCATCACAACAACACGTTAGGTTACCAACGTAAGCCTGTTCTGACATTCGGTGATATTTTTTCGGTGCTAAAACCCTTTCGGCCGAAAGGGCATTTTTAACCATTTTCGGCCGATAATTTTCGGTGGCCGAATATTCGGTGCATCCCTAATTATTGGGGTAGGTTTTGTTTATCAAAATTGATAAAAAGGGAAGAATTGTTGGGGAAATATTTTCTCAGGCCCATAACTGTGACCCAGTTTATCAATTTGTACTGACCTCACTGAGCACACGCACCTGTAGCTTGGCTGCTGTGCTCTCAGTGTTTTTTTCCCTGTTCCTGCCTGTTGGCGTCAGCTGATAGAGGTGTTATGGTTTTATCTTGTTATGCACAATGTTGATTATTCTCTCAGAACCAGCTAAATACATGGGTCTGGGTAGAGATCCTCAGAATTTGTTTGGAATCCGTTGTGTCAACTCATGGCTCGTGACACGTCTTGTGAATTCTCCGGCCGAAACTCCAAATAAACTGTCAGTGTTTGCCATCAAAGCTCCTGCTCTCCCCGTGTCTCTCTGAGTCCTGTTTGCAATTACATGAGAAGTTCTCTAAACTGGGTAACAGGGGCACTGCACCCTCTTACTCTCAGCATGCCCTCATACGAAAATGCAGACTTCCCCCATAAAATGTTAAAGTGATGCCAGAAAAACAATATTTATGTTAATCAAGTAACGGTATAATTACTCCAGAAATATGAACATGGTGTCAAATAGAGCGTCAGGCGGCAGAGACAGCTATTAACCTGTTAAGCCCGAAGCCTGGGTTTTTTTTCACGACACTGTGTCTCAGGGCATCTTAATATTTAAAAACCTATTAATGTGTTATACCAGATTAACGAGAAGAATCTCAGCTAACTGACGATACGAACCATTTTTACCGAAACAAAACACAAGTCTCACAAGAAGCGTTAGCATTAGCCCTTAGCTAAAACGGGCAGATGCTACTTCCGGTGCTAACTAGCAAAAACGATCTTTAAAACTTAATATTTTCTGCACAAACTACATATCATCTGAAAGCTGATACTCCACAGATTATTTTTGTTATAAGTATCATCACTGTAGGACACAAACTCAATGAGCTAGCAGCCAGAACAGAGAAGGAAAAAAACAACAGTTTTCAAAACCATAACAATAATTATGTCTTACCGTTGCTGTTTTGTGATCAAAGCTCTTGTTCAAGGGAATAAAAACGCTGCTTAAAGTTAATCCAATGTCTCTTAGTCACTTTAGAATTGTTCCTGATAATCTATCATTACATTCATGGCAGCAGAGTAGGTATAAAGTTTCGCAGTCCCGAGCTAATGCTGTCTCACGTGCCGTTTACGCAAACCTCTCTCTACTTGACGTAAGTGTTTAGCGGGACTTACTAACTGTCACTCGATTCTATTGGCTCTAACGGTTCAGAAAAGGTGTCAATCACCCAAATCGACCAATGGGTTCCAAAGATAGGATCCTGCGTAGTATAAACTACGCCCGCTCCGGCTCCATTACGCATTACGCAGCCTAGAGTGCTAGAGATGCTAGCTGACGATAGCGGGGCTATGATCATACCAGATGACTCTTCGTCGGATGATGAAGATCTCCTCCAGCCAGACCTGGATCCGGACAGTAGTGACTCGGATGTTGAACTTCCACCACGGGAAAGGTATGACATCTCTCTGTTTTTATATATTACTTATGTGTTTGGTGGAACTGCGTCACAGTGCTAGCTTAGCCAAGAAGCTACAGGAATGATTAGGCAAAATGCTAAATAGTGTTACTTGTCTTTTTGGAGTTACATTTTCTAAATGAATGGCCAGTGAATGAATATACATGTGTTTACTTATTTATTTGGTGTAATATTATTCATTTATAGTCCAATATTATCCTACAAGTATAAGCCAGTGAATGAATCTAATCTCTTTGTTTTTCCACATTTGTTAGATGAGGAGTGACCCCAGCAGGACAAAGCCACACACCCAGAAGACTTTCAGGGAGCAGCTTGCTGCAGAATTGTTGGAGTTTGCTGAAGGCCCTGCTGAAGGCCCTGCTGAAGGCCCTGCTGAAGGCCCTGCACCTCCACCACCCCCTCCTCCTTCACCACTCACATGCCCGAGTATTATGGAGAAGATGCCACCAAGGTCAGGAAGAACTGCAGGAGGTGCCTAGATGCTGGACTCAAAAGGGTGAAGACACCTGTGTACTGCAGGAAGTGTCAGGTCCCTCTGTGCTTCACTGTCAAAAAGAACTGTTTCAGGGAGTGGCACGACCTAAATACTGGAACATTCAGGTAGGTATATATATATATACCTAGTGTGATTTTATTGTATAGTTCGTTGGTAAAATGTTTGTTTTTACATGCCTATAGTGTGTTGGTAAAATGTTTGAAATAAATCTGCCCCAGTTGGAGTCAAATGTTACCTATGTTTCCGGTTTTTTTTATTGTGCAAGTACACTTACACACAATGACCTACAGTGTAGTTTTATTGTATAGCGCGTTAGTAGTTACATACACACACAGCTACACTTACACACCTACACATACCCACACAGCTACACACACACAAATATATATATTTTTAAATATTGTTGTTTTTTTTGGTCGAATGAATACCTATAGTGATGATTAAATGTAATACAATGATTTTTATAGTCTGGTATCGGAAAATGGTCAAATGGCACTGATGAAACCAAATGTGCCCAAAGCTTATTCCGCCTGGACTTTATTTTCATAAACCTCTCTAAAAAGGTCAAATATCACTTGTTTTGCCTCAATCCTGATACAGGGTAGTTATTATATGTTATACTTTGGATTCCTAAAGCTTTTAGGCTACTAACCCATCATTCAAGGTTGGTCTTCACTATAAGTAATGGGTTTTCTTTAGGCGGAGACAGGAATTTACATTTTTTAACTATGTTCCATCTGAATTTACTCTGACACAGAAACATCTATATTGATTCTGACACTTCTACATCCAACTCACAGATGTAACCTTGCTTTGTTCTGGGAATGTCATTTTCGAGCCTGAAACCTGAAAAACAGGCTCGGGGTTTAACACGTTAAGAGTCTAACGAGTTAATACAGAGTCTAAAGAGTGAGAGAGAGTGAATAAAGAGGGAACAGACCTGCTCTGTGGATCTGAAGCTGAGGCTGTAAAACAGCGTCCAGTAGTTTCCGGTGTCTCTCGTTCTCCTGTTTTGAACGAGACAGTTCCTCCTCGTACTTTGCTATCGTTCTTTCAAACAGAACAAAGATGTCTTCAGCAGCCGCAGTGAGTCGCTGCTTCACCAACGAGAGTAGCACAACACTCATGTTTACTAAATCACCACTTCCTGTTTCTCTCACTCTGTGTTGCTAGCGTGTTACCAGCTAGCATGCTAAGCTAGCTTCTAGAGTCCGAGCTAGAGGCTTCAGAAGAAAGAGCACAAAGTCAGAGGTTCATCCAGACACACAGACGATGTATGGATCAGCTGTGCACACACACTTCCTCAGGAACACCGAGAGAGGACCATGGATGTAGCGAGAGAACACACGAGAGAAGCCACGAGACGCGATCTGGTTCCATTAGAAAGAGCGAAACCATCACTTCCGGTGCATCACTTCTTCTTCTTCTCTCGATTTAAAGGCGGATTGCAAACAACTTTAAGGTGCATACCGCCACCTATTGTACAGAGTGTGTATCACCATTATCATCCTATCACCACTTGTGGAATTATACTATTTATATATTCCTCAGAGACACAACAACCGCCATCTCACCAGTCATAGCTCACATAATTAACCTCTCCATAAAAAAGGGGAAAGTACCCAAAGACTTCAAAATGGCAAGAGTAACCCCCCTGCACAAAAAGGGCAGCAAATTGGACCCAGGCAACTACCGCCAGAGGTGTGGACTCGAGTCACATGACTTGGACTCGAGTCAGACTCGAGTCACACATTTTATGACTTGAGACTCGACTTGACAACATCACAAAAGACTTGCGACTCGACTTGGACTTGAACACCAATGACTCGGGACTTGACTTGGACTTGAGCCTTCTGACTTGAGGTGACTTGCTACTTTAATTCAGAGGTCTCCAACACGCCGATCGCGAGCTGCCAGAAGAGCAGACTCCCGTCGGGGAGAGCAGAATCTTCAGCCGCTCCTACTCTTGCTGAGATTCCTTGCAGGCAGGGGCGGGTCTTTATTTAGCTGGGCCACCATGCGGCCAATCATATGCGAGGACACACTAGGATCATACCATTATGTGAAAGAAGGGTGGGGGGCACAGCATGTGTAGTGGTACAGGCCAGCTGCACAGAGCGACGGGGAGACGGGGAGCCGGATTGAAATGCAAGCGCGTCGGAAAAAGTTAAGAAATTAGCGAAAACCGAAAAAAGAAGCAGCATCTGGCTGCTTTTCAATGATATTGGAGAAAGCAAAGCTGAGTGCAGGATTTGTAAAAATGAAAATAACCTTCAGAGCAGGGTTTTTTTTTGGTAACCAGGTGGGAGAAGTTCAGACAATTAAAAAAAGTTACAATCAGGGTTCCCGCGGGGTCTTAATAAGTCTTAAAAAGTCTTACATTTGATAATCAGAATTTAAGGCCTTAAAAAGGTCTTAAATATGATTCAGAAGGTCTTAAAAATGATCGGATTTGAAAGGTACTTCTATGTTGCGATAGCGTCTAAATGTGTTTTGGGGGAAATGTCCGGGCTGCAAAGTAACCAGTACGGTAATAGCCTTTCAGTTCCCCCCAACAATTTGTATTGAATTAAATCAACATGGAACCAGTAATCACTAACTTTGTTTCCCCCGGCCCCTTATTGGAGAACACCCAGCTAGTAACCTAGCAACCAAGCTTCAGCTCATGTAGCCTATCTTCGAATCTACTTACAAATAAATATCGGGAAGTGTCAGTTCAACCGTATTTGGTTGGAAAACATCTAATTTAGTGCTTGGTTGAAACCAGTGGAGGGAACGTGTTTGAAGCCCGCTGCACCTTTTGCAAAATAAATTAGTGTTTGTTTTGCTAATGTAGCGTTAGCTAGTGCAGCAGCAGCTAATGTAGCGTTAGCTAGTGCAGCAGCAGCTAATGCAGCAGCTCCTGCAACAACACCGGGGGACCTCCGGGCGAAAATTGGGTCTACGTCAACCCTAAAAGCGGAGGTGCTGTAGACGCTACACACTAGGGCTGCTCGATTATGGCAATAATCAAGATTATGTTGGTCAATAATTAATATCACGATTATTAAATATGATTATTCATTGACTTTGAAAACATCCATTTATTGAACTTTAAAACAAATAATAATTTGAACAGTATCTTTTTAACTGTTGATTACCCTGAACGTATAATTCAACTGAAAAACCAATACAAAAATTAATTAAATAAATGATACATTACTAAAAAATTAATTAGATCAAATATGTTGTAGTGCACTGTCACAACCTAGCAATGCTAAATAATCGTTTTTTCCGATTATGTTGTTTTCGTAATTGTGGCAGGCCAAAATCGTAATTGCGATTAAAATATGATTAATTGCACAGCCCTAACACACACACACACACACACACACACACACACACACACACACACACCACACACACACACACACACACACAGATACACACTTTTTGTCTAACACACTAACACAGTTCTGTACTGTTATGCTGTTATGTTCAGTCACTGTTCTTATGTTGAACATGAATACATTTACTTTGTAAGTGATTATGGGACGTATTTCTTCTTTCATATCAATTTTCCTTCATACTTTATTGCCGTGAAATAGGTCTTAAATTCTATTCAAAGTGGTCTTAAAAAGGTGTTATTTGAGTTGGCGAAACCTGCAGGAACCCTGTACAATAAAAAGTCCTGCATTCAAAATGTTACAAGTAAAAGTACAAAAGTATTAGCATCAAAATATACTTAAAGTACCACCTGCAGAGGGATCTAGATGCAGGTGTTCTTTATAGAGACCGCCTCGCTGCACATTATCCCTTGCATAAAGATAGATTGTGGGTCCCTCATAACATGTTGTACACAGTGGAAATAAACATTCTGGTCACCTTAACATCAGGGATCTTATACATTAAACTCCTTCTGAATCAAACCGTCACGGTAGCCTTACCTTACTGATCCCTCTTAAATTAGAAAAACACACGTTACTTTACCAGCAGAGAGAAAATGGATTATTAAATTATTAATGTGACTAATAAAGAGCAATTTGATTATTAAGTATTATTCTGTTGATCGATGTCATTACATTTGGTGAAAAACACATAATGACTTGTTTATGACTCGTTTTGTCAAAGTTTAGGACTTGACTTGACTTGAACTTGCCCATCCTGACTTGAGACTTGACTTGGACTTGCAAAACAATGACTTGAGACTTGACTCGGACTTGAGCGCAAAGACTTGAGACTTGACTCGGACTTGCAAAACAATGACTTGGTCCCACCTCTGACTACCGCCCTGTTTCTATACTTACCTCCATCTCGAAAGTCATGGAAAAAATAGTATATGAACAGGTCAAAAAGTACCTCGCGGAAAAGAAACTAATCTATGAATTTCAATCTGGCTTTAGAACATCCCACTCCACTGACACATGCCTTCTTTATTTGAGCGACCACATCAAACAAGAGGTGGACGAGGGCAAGTACTGCGGCATGGTGATGCTGGACCTACAAAATGCTTTCGACACTGTCAATCACCCCCATTCTGATTGACAAGCTAAAAGCAATTGGTTTTGATAAACTATCGGTGAGCTGGATGCAATCCTACCTGGAGGGGAGAGAACAGATGGTGGAGGTAAACGGTACTCTGTCCCCCCCCCCTCCCAGTGAGCTGTGGTGTTCCACAAGGAAGCATATTAGGTCCGTTACTGTTCCTAATTTATGTAAATGACATGTCATCAGCATGTGACTGCAACTTGTTCCTGTTCGCGGACGACTCAGCCCTGCTGGTCTCTGACAGGAACAGGTTTGCAGGTTGAAAAAACCCTCAGCTCCGAGCTCGGCAGAATCTGCACCTGGCTCGCCGATAATAAATTATCATTACACCTGGGTAAAACAGAGTCCATTCTCTTCGGTTCGAAACATAATCTCAGCAAATCCGACGACTTCTCAGTTGCAGTGGGCGACATTATTGTCACAAGTAAGAAGGAAATTACATACCTAGGATCTATTCTTGAGGCAAACCTCTCCTGTGATAAAATGGCATCCAATGTAATAAAAAAAGTCAATCAAAGAACTAGATTCCTATACCGGATCTCCTCTCTGGTAAACAAAAACACCCTGAAAACTCTGGCAGGAGCACTCATTCAAGGGTACTATGACTATGCTTGCACGTCATGGTACCATAGCACCTCCAAGGCGCTAAAAATAAAACTTCAAACATCGCAAAATAAACTGGTCAGACTACTGCTTGACCTTTCATCTAGAACCCACCTCACCTCTGCCCACTTTGACAACCTAGGATGGCTTAGAGTAGACGACAGAGTACAGCTACTTGCAATGGGCCTGGTCTACAAGATCCACTACACCTCTATGGTACCCATGTACATGTCAACATTCTTCCCAAAGGTCAAGGAATACCATGATCATAACACCAGAGGGAGCTCCACAAATCATGTGAAACCCAGATTTGGCACAAAAAAGGGGGAATACACGTTTCGCAATTATGCCACATCAAGGTGGAACGCTCTTCCCACAACTGTAAAGGAAAGTAAAACTATACTTACCTTCAAAACCTCTCACCTTCGGGGGAGAGCATTGCAAAACTGGCCCCGGTAATGGTACAAATCTCAACCTGTCGTTCAATGGACAGCTTCCCCCCCCCCATCTATGTATATACTCGCATTTTAGACTCTGTTACTAACTGTATATCTGTAGACTTGGTATGTCTTAAATGTCTGGTTAGGATGTATTAGAACGAAATCTAAAAGGAAAATTGTAAATAAGCAATCTGTATGTAAAAAACCACCTGTATGTAAATTGTAAATAAGCCATCTGTATGTCTTATATGTCTTATATGTCTTAAATGATATGATGAATTGGAAATGGGGGACCCTGATGTAAACAAGACGAAAGTCTTTCTCTGGTCTGCATCCCCTTAACAATTGTATGTTTTGTACTGTACTGTACTGTACCCAATATACAAGCTGTTAATAAACTTTTCAATCAATCAATCAATCAATACCAGCGGAGGCTGTGGCGCAGTGGATTATTAGAACGTTGGTTTTTGGATCAGGGGAACACAGGTTCAAATCCCACTGCAGTCTGCATGTCGTTGTGTCCCTGAGACACGTCACCCCAAATTGCTCCTGTGGGGATTGCCCGCAGTATTGAGTATGTAAGTCACTTTGGATAAAAGTGTCTAACAAGTAACATGTAATGTAATGTATAATACCACTGTATTTACGTTGTTTTAAATTCTTCCAATCAATCCTGTTTCACTCAAATACTTAAGAATAGCCTTCCTGGTAGCTCTTACCCCCTCACCGTCTGTCCCCAGTGTCCCCATCAGGCTCCACTCTCTATCCTGCCTTTCTGACCCTGTCTCTTAGTTTGTCCCTCTCTGTTTTGTACATGTTGCAGTG